CAAGGACCTTGCACGTGACCTTGTCTGAATTTCTTTTCGTATCTTCTGAGTTTCCTCTGCCCCTGCTTTGCCCATACTTGCTTGCCTGTCGCCTCTCCAGAACACAGGATGACAAAGAGGTTTGAGGTACAGTCAGAAGAAGAGAAGAAGAGGATCAATCACTCCTACACTACTGCCTTGGAGATCTTCAACCGAGAGAAGGAGGTAACACAGCCCAAAGCCCACTGGGAGTGGGATGGGTAGCCGCGGCAGTTGCTGTGTCCCCAGGCGTGCCTCTGACCAAAGCAGTAGTATTGCCTTTCTTGGCTTGTACTCCCTGCTTGCCTAGACATCTTTGCAAGTGGACCGACAGTGATGCTGGCCTTCAGCTGGACCGTCTGACCGCAGGGTTATTGGAATGAAAATTGTCATGGATAGGAAATAACACAATCCTAATATATACAATAAAGAACCCTTGGGGGTGTCGTGGTTACATGTTGGCCTGCTATGCACAAGGGGGCCAGTTTGAAAGGACCAGTCGAACGATACAACTGTTCACTCCCATACAGTTACAGTCTTGGGTTGGAATGGACTGGATGGTGGTGTGTTTTAGAGTTTGTTCATATATGTCCACCAATACAATCATGGCGACCCCGTGTGGTCAGAGTAGGACTATGCTTGGTGAAGCTTTCAGTAGTTGATCCCCAGGACTTCTCCCCAAGGCATGTCTGGGTATTTATACTCCCGCCTCCAGCCTTCAGGTTAGCAGCTCAATGCATTGACTGTTTGCACCACTTGGTGGTGCTGGTGGGTCAGTGGTAGAATTCTTGCCTTTTGTGTAAGAAATCTAGGTTCGGTACCCACCCCCAAGGCATAACCACCAGCCATCTGTTACTGAAGGCTTTCCTGTTTTGATGATGCTAGACAGGTATGAGTAGACATGTATGAGTAGAGAGAAAGGCCTCACAGTCTACTTCAGAAAAATCACCACTGCAAATCCTATGCAACAAAACGGTCTGATCTCATGGCTCGTGGAGTCCCCCGCTCTACAAACATGGACGAAAGCCCAAATCCCAGTCACTAGAAGGCCTCTCCTCCTTGACTGTCACTGTGGTGATGCTCACCTCTCAGTCAGTAAGGCTAGCTACGAACTCAAAGGTAGAAACGGGTGAGGACCAGCTACCCCTCATAGCCATGTTCCTTCCCCTTTGATACTCATGAACTTCTTACATGGAATTCTGCCCAAACCTGACCACCGGTGTGGTTGTTCATATGAATTACCAAGAAGGTCCCAAACAGTTCAAACAATGGGCTCTTTGACCTGCTGGCACGTGAAGGCTCACAGGAGGCTGATGTTGCGGCAGACCTTACAGAAAGAAGCAGGGTGCAGGAAGCCTTGTGGTCAGCTCAGACCACCAGGACTCCTTTGACGGACGCCCTTTCACACGTTTTCCAATTTTTTTTTTTTTTAGGAGTTCTTGAAACAACATGAAAACAACGCCAAAAAATTAGAAGAACTGGCCAAGACCAAAGAGGTAAGCGTTTCCATTGGTTCTGCGGCACCATTGATGTTGCTAAGGGCCATCAAGTGCGTTCCCAGCCGTAGGGCCTGCACGACACAATGAATCCCGGCCAGGCCCTGCACGCCATCCTCACAATCGTGCCCATGCCTGAGCCCGTTCTTGGAGCCGCAACATCAGTCCAGCTCCTTGGGGATCTTCCTCTGTTTTGCTGCCCTTCTTCTCTACCAAGCATGGTGCCCTTCTCCGGGGCCTGGCTTCCAAACACAGCCGGAGAAGTCTGCCCTCAGCGAAACGAAATCCGGAGAAGTGTGCCCAAATCACTACAGAAAAGAAAAGCTGAAGTCGAGTTTTTCGAATCAAGTCAACCAAAGCGATTTTAAAACTGTTTGTAAAACAAGAGCATTGGTATCTTGTTAGAGCCACATCTGAACAAATACATAGCAGGATCCTGTGTGATTTTTAATGTCTAACACCTTCTATTTCTAGTAAGGCCCCAATTACAAGTCTCTTGAATTGTAAAATGCCGGGGTCTTCCCCTTCTGCTCTGAAAAATGCAATATTTCCCCCTAAAAATCTCTGTCTCCAAAGCTCTCCTTGAAATTCTGTACCCTGGCACGAACGCTTCCTCGCAGAACGCGTTCTGTGAAAATGCCCGCGCTGCGAAGCTCTTCCAGACAAGGTGCTGGCGGGCCGCTTCTTCAGCAGAGGGTCTCATCTGGATCCATTCACCCCTCGTGGCATGGTAGTTAGGAGTCCGGCTGCTATTCCAG